TAAAGCACACGTGTCATTTGACTACTTGTCGCACTCGGCTTTTGCCGCATTCGCCGCTACGCAGCTTATGCGGCAAACTACCTCGTGCGACAATCTTCGCCAAATGACACTTGTACTTTAATACACTATTATTTCATACTGCTCTTTTTTTAATTAAAATGCCATATAATTTTTGATTAGAATGTGTACGCGTTCAAATGAAAGTAAAAGTCGATCACTTGATTTGTTTGATCTGACAGTTGTTTGACACATTAATATATAGGTTTAGATGGATGTCAGTTGATGTTGCTAGGTAACATTTCCAGTCTGGTAAAAATTTTCAGTCTGGTAAAATACGATTTACCAGACTCAAATCAGTCTGGGAAAGCGGCGATTACTAGATAGTATGAAATAAATGTAATTTATTTATGTTTAATTGATTACTAATAAATTTATAACGGTCCTTAAACCAGATTAATTTGTAACAGTTAATTATTATTCGGATCGGCTTTAAATTCCTTACCGCCGGTGACTAATTTTTTATCGACTTGATGGCGCCTCGATGTCGCTACAATATTTAGTGAAAATCATTTTTATTTTTCTATTTAGGTGTGCTACGGGGTCATAGTGGAACCGCGATAAAATGAATTACTACTATTAATAAGAAATATTTTCATATGAAGTTGCGCCATAAATTCGATAGATGGAGTATACCTATCGTATATCACATATCATATATTACATATCATGTATCATATATAGATATTAAATTCGGACGCTATTTCCCTTAAGTTTCTTATGGGATCCTCTTCCACAAAAATTAAAACATTCAGTTTCATATCCTCCGTTAAAATTGAGGGTTGCTTACGGTTTCTTATGTGGATCGCATTTAAATAACCACCAATTTTAAAGTGATCGATACAGAAAATAAGTATCTTACACTCCTTAAATTATTACACTACACCAATTGACAATAGCAACTTCTGCTTCAGTTGAATACATCGCACACGAAGGAAAATAAAAATACCGTAGCCAAAGTAATTCCAATTAATTAATATGACAGCAAAATTGCCACTGTAAAAATTAAAGGTTACAGGTGGTCATGCGGTGGTGTTATTTTCAGTGTAGTTATGTTAGTAGCTGGATGATCCGCCATGTTTTGGCCAATTACACCGGATTGGTAGAAATTAATCTGAAAACCAAGATGGTAAGTTTATCTTGCTGGACACAATTGAAAGAGCATTATTGTAACCATAGCATAGCATCCACTAATTTGGATAAACCGATCAGCTCAATGATAAATTGGAAAAAACACGGTCGGCATGGAGCATTATGGTCATACTATCTTTATACAGTTACTGTAATTTAGGTTTAGGTTAAAGTCACTAACTATAGAAAGTACCGCAATCCATTGGGCTCGTGTGTTAGAGAGAGAACGCATGATTTTTGCCCAAAAATGGCGAAAGGTACCAGATTCTAGTAACTTTAATGTTAGGGATTGTTCCACCTGTTTGGAGATATCTGTATATATTTTTATAAAACATGACAGTAATATGAAGTTAGGTTATAAAAAATGACAGCTATTCAGATTTTATTTGTAAATTTTTTTAAGTTGGCAGCAAATTTGCCCAAAAATGGCGGATGATTGCGGTACTTTCTATATCTAGTGACTTTAGTATAAATCACAATAAATTAATCGATCGAATCAAAAGTCTCAGAGACAATAAAATAAGTTTCCAAAAACATCATCGACCACGTGATCGAAACTCGCCAATATATAACGATTTGAGTTTGTAAGCGTTGAGTGAACAAATCAAGTAGAGACGCAACCTTCATAAGACAGATCGTAGTCTCTTTTATCTCTTACTCTCTTACATTTCCCTGCTCTATCCAACGTAGGTACTGGAACGCCGACTAGAAACCATATATATAAGAGAAGTATATATGCTAGAAACTTGTAAGCGCCATGTAAATCTCAGAGCCTACATTCGTGACGATTTCAAGTATATACGTTGCGCCTCTACCTGCATTTCTTCACTCAACGTTGTAAGGTTAACATTGTTCGAATGCGTTTAGAAAATCACGTTCTTAATTGCACTGTCTAAGAAATACTGTCTATTTCGTGTTAGTATTCGGTTGTCCAAAGACGTGTTAACATTAAGGTATTATCCTAGAGTTTACACGATTATAGTGACATTATTATCTCTGCTCTGCGCCCCTTTTGAGTGTGAATCTGATAAAAGGCTGTTTTAAACAACAATAACAACTAGGAAAAGTTATACGTAAGTACGTACCTATTGAATCATTTAGTTGTTTTGCTTGAACGCTTTTTCTTCTATGTAAAATTCGAAATGAGTATGTGCCATTATTTAAGAGTGGCGTAGGTTTGCAATATAACATCTCTCTCCTCTCCTCCCCCGCACTCTTTTCGCTCGGATTATTTAACTTATATCATATGGAAAAAAAAAAGTTTCACTCTTAACTATTTAATACTTCACTTTTATTTGCAACAATAATAATAGTTACAAATTGACCCGATTCTTAGTTCGGCGAATCAACTTATTCGATTGCTTCTGTATTTTTAAGAACGCCCATGACTGATTAAATAATTTCTTTAAAATCACTTCTTTTATGGTAAAAAATTAAACTTGAAAAATTTAAGTTCTGAAGAATGGTATAGTAATCATCATCCAATTTATAATTTAAAATATTTCTCTCTCTCTATCAATTATCTTTTTTATCGTTCCTGTGTGTATTTTGAGCCTCAACTGTACAAAATTAAACTCGAAAATTTTTACAAAAAAAAACAACACAAACATCAAGGTCACAATTTCCAAAAGCTGATCAGACG